AACATGCTCAATCCAAAACACCAAATGTTGACAAAAAATACAATCCAAAACAATCATCAGATAAACTTTGCAATGGTCTGTGACAAAAAAAATATAATCCAAAACAATCAGATAAACTTTGCAATGGTCTGTGACACTCTCCCCCCTTTTATCCAAAGTCGTCCCGACAATTCAATATCCATACCTATTTGGGGGCCTACCCTGGTTAGACCTTTGAGACCGCCTTAAGGGCTCAACTCTCATCTCATCTYCTGTAGGGGGGGCTACTAGTGGAACCATGTGCCCACCCCCTCCTTGATCTATGGGAGGAGCTATAGCTGAAGGCACAGTGACTGGTAGCAAAACAGGTCGRAAACTTACATCATTTGGCAAGGCAGGACTGGGCCCCTCCGTCTGTTGGACATTTTGGGATTGCTCAGGATACCGGACGACACATGGCCGAAGGTGATTGCGATGTATTGTCCTAATTGGCCCTTCRTTTCCCTCAGGTTTGATCCGGAACACTGGCAGGTCTGGACGTAGCTGACCCAAGACCACATATGGCTGAGACTGCCAGTGTGGTGCCAGCTTTCCTTGTTCTCGTCGCCTGAAATTGCGGAGGAGTACTCTTTCACCTGGCAATAATGGAATGGTTCTGGCTTTCTGATCATACCGATCCTTATCCCTCATTCGGGTTTCTCGGGTCTTGGATACCACTTGTTGGTATACTTTCAACAATGTCTGGTGATGGTGTTGCACCCAACCTTCCAGATCAGTTCGTTGAGTCAATGCAGGAGCTCCCACCACCATGTCCACAGGTAACCTGGCATGTCGGCCAAACATGACGTAATGTGGCGTCAAACCAGTAGTCTCGTGTGCAGTGTTGTTGTACATCTGTAGGAGGGTTGGAAGATGGTCAGGCCAACATACCTGGTCACTTGGATTCAGCCCTGTCAACAAAGACAAAAGGGTTTTATTCAGTCTTTCACAGGCCCCATTCCCTTGGGGTCTGTAAGGCGTTGTGTGTATTTTCAAACACCCATAAAGGTCACACAACTGAGCAACCAGAGTGGATTCAAACGCAGCCCCTTGATCTGACAAAATTTGTTCTGGACACCCCCAAGGCTGTATTAGGTGGCGCCACAGTGCTYTAGCTGCCGTAGCTGCAGTCTGGTCTTTGGTCGGGATGGCCCACCCATACTTTGAGAAGAGGTCAGTAATAACCAACAAGTAGGGGTAAGCATCAGCTTGTCGGCCCAAGGACAGGTAGTCCATTGCCACAATTTCAAGTGGATAGGATGTAAAAACAGGGACTAAAGGTGCTCTTACCTCCGGGCCCCTCTTCTGTTGGACACAACTGGCACAGGTCTGGGTCCACTGCTGGACATCAGTCCCCAGGCCTGGCCAATAGAAGGTTTTCCTCATTAGAACTTCTACTTTCCCAGCCCCCATATGACCTGAGGCCCTGTGATACTGGTCCCAC